TTTGGTGATTGTAAGTAAGTATAAAAATCAATAAGAATTATATGACAAAATTGATGGTCAGAGAATCAACCCACGTGTTCTTTAACATTTTAACATTAATTGTTTTTACTGCATATGCAGTGTCAATATTGTTTTATATATTCAATTTCAAATTCTTGCTCTTTTAATGTTTTTCAACCTTTAAATGTTTTTTTAAAATATAGTTTTACTGCACTTAATTTCCAATGCTTACCTTTAATTTTTTTTTCATAATTTACCTGCTTTGATAGTTAAATAATATAGGTTTATATTTTGCACAAGTTTAAAGTGTAGGTGTATCTCATTTAAATGCTTTCACTGCTTTTTTAAATTGGTTTATTGTTTTTCATAGGTTTAATGTTTTGATTTTATTGCTTTTACATTCAAAAGCACCTCAAATTTCCCACACTCCTAGTTTTGCATAAATGAAAATCAAGATATTGATGAATTCTCCTAAAAGATATTTATACATATATAATCACAACAATAAAATACACTTATGATTAGTGGCAGACAAACCTCCCCTGTAGGAACTCTCATTTATAGTTCTAATTTTGGTAAGAACAAAGTAAAAAATTAATTAAATAGCTTAAAATTAGAATGAATTCAAGGGAAAGAAGAAGAATGTTTTCAAAAAATTATAATAAATAAAATGATTAAAAGGAATAAAATAAATGAGTCCTAAATTTATGTTTACAACAACTTAGTAAATAATGGTTTTAATATTTTAGTGACCTTCCGACCTTTCACAGAGCCCCTTTCATGGCATCGAGACTTGTTTAGAGTAATTTCAAAATAAATTTATTGAATCATATATTCTAAAGTAATTTCAGTAGAACAAAAATAGCCTTTAAAAGTTAATTTATTTGTAATTAAACATTTTCAAGGTTCCTACTTGAATAGTGCAATATTATAAGTAATTAATTATTGCTATATATGGTTTAAATTCTCTTGTCTCATCCCATTTTATTTTTCTACTCTCAATTTTTAATTTAATTTTTAGTTAATGAGTTTATCTGTTATTACTTGTATTTTGTTTTATTTTATTTTATTTATAATTTTTATTGAATTTAGACGAGAAAATATAAAATATTGACAAGAAGAAGATAAAATTTGTGAGTTAAACATATAAGAAGAAGACGAATAAAGTTAAAAAAATGCAATAAATAAAATAATGGAGTAACATTTATGGCATTAAACCTACCTAGCACTACAACAAAAATGGGCTTATGCGACGGCACTTTAGATAGCGGTTAATAAAAATCGCTTTTAAAAATACATATTAGATAGCGGTTAGGAGTAAACCGCTCTCTAAAGTATGTTTTAATAGCGGTTCAGAAAGAACCGCTTTCTAAAATAATTTATAATAGCGGTTGTGTGATAATCGCTATCTAATGTCATACTTTTAAAAAGCGGTTGACACGTGGAACCGCTATCATAACTTTAGATAGCGGTTACTTCGTGGGACCGCTATAATAAATGTAGTTTAGATAACGGTTATTTGGCCAACCGCTATCTAAAGTCATATATTTTTTTAACCCTACACCCACTTTCTTCAACCTCGCGCTCTTTGTATCTGCGTTTTTTTGCCGCTCTCTACGCTCTCATTATCACTCTCTGCGCTCTCTTTCTCGCTATTTGCGTCTTCCATTAAGCTAAAGGTACGTTCTTTGTATTTACAATCTTTCTGATTCTCTTGCTCTCATTGAAGCATATTACATTGTAATATATTTGTGCGTCGCCAAGTTCGCGTTCCAGTCTCCATTCGCCATTGTTGTTGTAGGACGCACTTATTGGGAGGTCTATAATAGGTTAGTGCATTATATATTTTTTAGGGTTTAGGGTTTAGAGTTTGTCTACATTGTGATCTGAAATTGTGTTTTGAAATAGAATATAGGTTGGCTAGGATATATAGATGGTTTAGTGTGACGGTGAAATATTTTGTATTAGAGATTAATGGAAGACAATCCTTTTATGAGCATGGACCCAACATTGTTTGGTAATTCTGTACTGGATGATGGAGATTTTTATGCAAGAAATGACCATAAAGAGGGTGTGTGGTTAAATCCATCATTTCATACCATGAAGGGAATTAGAAAACATGGAAGTGCTTCAAAGAAACAACGAAGGTGTGACAAATATGTATTTTAATTATTATTTGTATGTTATAATCTCAATAACGTGCACTAGAAAATTCATTTTATGTTATGTTTTTCTAATTGTCTTTTTTTTTTTTTTTGCAGAGATGACATCTTCAGTTAACATGGAAGGGGTCGAGTCTCCTAAATTTGCTAAGTTGAAGAAGAAAAATACTAGAGGATTGACCAAAATGAAATCGGTGAGCAAATCAAGGAAGTTAGGACAAAAACTACTGGTAAGGATAAGATGTGGTTGTTCGATAATGTCTTTTCTTGTTGTTTTCATTTTCTAACAACTTGCTTCATAATGTATAGGTTGGATGGAACCCCAAGGGCCAGCCAATAGATCCTAACAGATCTAAATTTGCACACTTCATAGGATATGTGACTAGAAGGTGGTTCATGCTTAGACATGATGAAGCTATTTGTTAGGAGTGATCAGACAATTGAATATGCTAATATTCAATTACCTGAGAAGTATTGGGGAAAAGAGTTTTATGATGTTGTGGGGAAGGAGAACATACTAGAGGTTATCCGTCGTGAGTGGCTAAGTGCCTCTAGCATTTGCTTGTACATCAGGTAATAATAAATACTTAATTTCTATTTGTTTAGGTTGGTTACTTTATGTTGATATATATTGGACTTAATTCATTGTTGGCCTTCAATTATATTATAAGGTATTTTTGTGACGCCTACTTGCATGGTACTGATAGGTTCTCTTTCATATCTCCATATGAGCTTGATGAGAAGCTCAATGTCAACCCACATCAACATATAGCAGACATGTTGAAGCTTCATTTGGGTCAAGATCACTTGGTATTTGCTCCTTATAATGTTGGGTAAGTTACTCTTGCGTGATTGATCAATTCCTTTCAAATATTCTAAAATTTGCTGATTATATATTTTTATTCCTCACTTTGTATTGTGTTCAATAATTTTAGTTCGCATTGGATTCTTATTGCTATCAATACTCGGGATGAGACATTATATTATTTTGATTCATTACACCGTCACTATAAGGAGAGAACACATATGCTCAACATTTTTAACAAGTAAGTAAACTCATATGACTGTTTCGCATGTGAATATCCAATACGGTAAGATATTTATATTAACTTCTTGCTATTTCAGTGCCCTACTTATATATAGAGCTGAAAGGAGGCTTCGAACACCAAAGAAAAAGATGAATCAAACAAGATGGGTCAGTGTACAGGTATCAAGTGTATCCCAATTCATGTTTTCATACATGCTTATATTTCACTTGGCAGTTATTCTAAACTTTCTTTATGTTTTTGGTCTACAAAGTGTCCTAAGCAAAACAACTCAAATGATTGTGGATATTACGTAGTCTTATTCATTGGAGATGCACTGCAACATGAACAAACTACTATTCCAATTAACGTAAGAACCATTTTTCATTATGGCTATGCTTATATGAAAGAATAATGTATTGTCATTATTTATCTAATTTGGTATTTAACTTTTGTGATTCTTTTATATCTATGTTTGCAGTATTTTCCAGAATCTTGCAATACTACCTTTCCAGACAATATAATTGAGCAGCTACAAAAGGAATGATGTGCAAATTTCTATCATACATTTTTGAAGGACAAAATTAGTACCATAGACTCTTAGCGATTTTTTTAATCATTTCAATTATTTGATGTATATATATACCAATTTTGTTTCATGCAAATTTTAGTTTTAATTTGTCAAATTTTGAATTGTTTTCTATAATTCTGTGAATATATATTGTATGCTGGCTGGATTTTGTTAGATTAATTTGATATATACCTTGAAATTGTGGTCTATTAGGTACAAATTATGAGAAAAAAAATTTGGATTTTCAAAATTTAAATAATTTTTTTAAAATTGGGACTTTAGATAGCGGTTCCCAGAACTGCTATCTAAACATACTAAAGGAGAGCGGTTCTAGAACTAACCGCTATTAAAAGTATATTTTAGATAGCGGTTAACGTGGAACTGCTATTATATGTTCACTTTTAAGAGTGGTTAAAATATTAACCGCTCTTAAAAGTGCCACATATATGATAGCGGTTCCACGTTAACCGCTATTATATCTTATTTATGATAGTGGTTAACTAACCGCTATCTTAACTTCTTTATTTTATTAGCGTCTCATTTAATAGCATTTTTAATCGCTATTATAGAGCGTTTTTAATCGCTATTATAGAACATGTGGAACCGCTATTACATGTCTTTTCTGTTGTAGTGTAGAGTCATTTCGAAATAAATTTATTGAAACATATATATTCTAAAATAATCTCAGTAGACAAAATAGAACATTTAAAACCTAATATTTTTTGTTTTTGCAATTAAACATTTTAAAATTTTCTACTTGAATAGTGCAACATTATAAGCAATTAATTAATTGCTATATATGGTGTTAGTTAGCTTATAGTTGAACCTAGGAAGTGACTGTATACATCAAGGTGAATAATGTAAAGAAAACAATGTGAAATATTTGAGGAAATATTGGGTAGATGAGATTCATTTATAAAAGAATTTGCTAATTTTTGGTGATTATATTTATAATTTATAGTTTTAAAAGAATTATATTTCTTCACAGTATTTACTTTCTCAAATAATAAAAAATAATAAATGTAACTGTTCACTCAAATTAGGAGATAGAGACTTTGAAATTATCATTAGTTAACAACAAAATTTAAACTTCTAAATATGGTGGAAACATACAAGAACCACACAAAATAAGGAACAGAAGGTTATGCATGGGCCTATAAAAGGATTCCTTAGAACCATTATTCTCTCATCACAAGGGGAACAACATCTATAACCAATAAAATCAATAATACATTAATCACCATGGCAAGGTCATTTGTTGTTGTTGCCCTTTTTGTATCAGTTTTGTGCTTCTCCTCTGTCTTGGCTCGTAAAACACCAGAAAAATTCAACATTGAAGGCAAGATTTATTGTGATCCTTGTCAGTTCGCATTTGAGTCCAGATTGAGTTTCCCTTTGGCAGGTGAGTTTCTTTAATATTACCATCCACATTTTGAATTAATAAAATGGAACGTGTAGCTAAAGAAAAAGAATAAGAAATGTTTGAACATGCGTTTGTAGGTGTGAATGTGACTTTGATATGCATCAAGGAAGAGAATGATACAGTGACATATGTAAAGAATAGCACAACTGATGCAAATGGCATGTACAACATCCCTGCCCGTGGTGATCATGAGGAGGAGATCTGTGTGGTGATTGCAGACTCACCAAATAAGGGACAATGCAAAGAGGCAATGCCAAACACGTCTGATAGGATCATCCTCACCAATAACATGGGTGTTACCTCTTCGGTACGCTATGTAAATCCCCTTGGGTTCATGACACAAACAATTGATTCACAATGCAATCTCGTTGTTAAGGAATTGGGACTCGACACACTTGATGACTAGGTGCAAGAGACAAATTAATTAATTAAGCTTATCAACAAAAAATTATATTATTATTATTGGATCAATTGTCTTGTATCACTTTTATATAGCCATTATCCACTATGTGTTGCATGAAAACACATTATTAATGAAATGAATGATATTCTAAGTTTGCTACATGATTGTTGTCACCCTCACCGGTAGACTCAATTACGATCATTGCATTGCATGACTTAATATTAAAAAGAAAAAAAAATCTTATGATGTTTTATTTTACAAATGACTCTCATAATTTCATATCTCTTTTCGATTTGTATTTTTACCACCGTTTTCATTCATCACAACTGCTGCACTTTTTCAAACCAGGTCATTTTATCTTATTTTTAAAAGTTAAATCTTAGTTTTTGGTTTTATTTTATCTTAATTATTGATATCTTAGTCCACAAAATAGTTTTTTTTTTTTTTTTGTACTTTTTTTCTTTTGGAATAAAATCCATCGACGCATCCATTTCCGATTTGGCTTGTGAACATGGAGAGTACACTTCATATATGCATACAAAACACATAATAACCCAAACATCATATTCAAATGAACCAAACAAGATTTACACACAAATTGAAGACCCAGTTCAGAATTCATAGAACACATGCATATTGTGAGAAAGGTTATCGTCATTGTTAAGAAAAGGTTGAGGAGAGCCAGAGGATTGGTGAGCATGGATGTATATATATATATATATATATATATATATATATATATATATATATATATATATATATATATATATATATATATATATATATATATATATATATATATATCTGCAATTTACACCACTAGTGCAGAATAGGGCTTTTACGTCACCCAATTGTCGTCGCATGCATGTATATTCGACGTAAATAAAACGCGGTGCCAATTTAGTAAATATGGGACAAAAATTTTACGTCGCACATCCCAGTATGCAACGTAAAAAGCCTCTTTTACGTCACACCTGGGAGGCGCGACGTAAAAGATGGACTTTTACGTCGCGCACTCCAGGTGTGACGTAAAAGATGGCTTTTTACGTCGCGTGCTGGGATGCGCGACGTAAAAAGTCTATTTTATTTCCCTCTAGACCCACTTCCTCGTCTCGCGCAACCAGGGTTTTTGAGAGCGACGACGAGAACGACGACAACAGCTACCTCTGCACACCATTTTCGAGCAGTTTTACAGTGAAAAGCATCTACATTATCGTGTCATTTGACGAACTTGATCTTTCTCCCCGATTGGATTCGAGTTTGAAATCAATTTTCGTCTACACTCGAGGTTAGTGTTCTATGTCATTGCTATATGTTTACATTGAATCCGTGATTGTTTTTGGGGATCTCAATCACGTTATAGTATGAATGTCTCCACTGGATTGTTATTGGAATGTAATTATTTGTTTATTTGTTTGAGTGCATTCGGTTTACACACTCCATTGTTGTTGGAACGTGCTTTGTTGTTTGTATATTAATTTTTTTTACATATAATTTTTAAATCTCTAGGAGTGACGAAACTTTATAACATAATATGAATCGAAGTTGGATGAATGCACGTCGTATTAGTGAAGAGTACGAAAAGGGAGTTGAGGAATTTTTGAAATTTGCTAGTGAAAATGGAAAAGCTATGAAAGGGACATATTATTGTCCATGTGTTTGTTGTTTGAATCAAATTCGTCATAAACTTGAGGATATATGTGATCACTTGTTTGTTTATGGTATTATTAAGAGTTATACAATATGGACATGGCATGGAGAAATATTAGACATCCCAACTGTGTCAATTACAGACAATTTTGATGAAGGGATGGATGATAATCTAGAGGATATGATACGTGATATTGGTGAAGAAAATTTTATGAAAGCACATCTATATGATTCTTTGAAATCTGATTTTGCGCAACAATTGTACATAGGATGTAGTTTTACAAGATTATTAGCAACTTTAAAATTGTTTACTTTAAAAGCAAGAAATGGATGGACTGATAAAAGTTTCACCGAATTATTGGAGTTGTTGAAGGAGATGCTTCCTGAAGATAATACATTACCTATTCGTAACTATGAGGCAAAGAAGATATTATGTCCAATGGGTTTAGAGTACAAGAAAATACATGCATGTCCTAATGATTATATATTGTACAGAAATGATTTTGCTAAATTAAAGATGTGTCCGACATGTGGTTTGTCGAGGTTCAAAAACAAAGTTGAGGAAAGTAGTGGTGAGGAAGAACTAGATGGTCCCCCTGCTAATGTGTTATGGTATTTGCCAATTATACCTAGGTTTAAAAGATTATTTGCCATAAAAGAAGATGCAAGAAACTTGACATGGCATGCAAATGGTAGAAAATGTAACAATCTTCTTCGACATCCAGTGATTCTCCACAATGGAAAAGGATTGATGAAACCTTTCCAGAATTTGGTGCGAGAGCCAAGAAACTTGAGAATTGGATTAGCTACAGATGGGATGAATCCTTATGGAAATTTAAGTAGTAAACATAGTTCATGGCCGAGTTATGTTGATCATTTACAATTTGCCTCCTTGGTTATGCATGAAGAGAAAATATATGATGTTATCTATGATGATTTCAGGACCTCGACAACCAGGAAATGACATAGATGTATATCTTAGTCCTTTAATTGATGATTTGAAAATGTTGTGGGAAACAGGAGTGGATGTATTTGATTCATATCACGAAGTGAATTTCGAGGTTGCGTGCAATGTTATTTTGTACTATAAATGATTTTCCAGCATATGGTAATTTGAGCGGTTATAGTGTGAAAGGTCATTTAGCGTGTCCTATATGTCAAGAAGACACAAGTTATATCCAATTGAAACATGGACTAAAAACTGCGTACAATAGGCATAGAAAGTTTCTAGTTGCTAATCATCCATATCGTAAAATGAAAAAAAACATTTAATGGATGTCAGGAGAATGCGGTTGCATCAGGTACTCACGCAATGGTGAACAAGTATATGAGCAAGTGAAAAATATTAATATTGTGTTTGGAAAGACCCAAAAGAAATCCAATGAGAAAAACATTTGGAAGAAACAATCTATATTCTTCAATCTTCCTTATTGATGTAAGTTGGAAGTTAGACACTTGTATAGATGTGATGCATGTTGAAAAAAATGTTTGTGATAGTATAATTGGGACATTGCTTAACATAAAAGGAAAGACAAAAGATGGAATAAAAGCAAGACAAGATTTGGCAGACATGGGTATATGTTCTGAATTACATCCACAATCAGTTGGAAAACGCACTTACTTACCTCCAGCTTGTCATACTCTATCAAAGAAAAAAAAGAGAAGCTTTTGTGAGTGTTTACATGAGGTCAAAGTGCCACAAGGATACTCCTCAAATGTTAAGAGTCTTGTGTCTATGCCAGAGTTGAAATTAGTTGGTTTAAAGTCTCATGATTGTCATGTGTTGATGCAACAACTTTTACCAGTGGCGATTCGAAACATCTTACCAACTTCTGTTAGAATTTCTATTACTCGGTTATGTTTGTTTTTCAACGCCATTTGTAAAAAGGTAATTGATCCAAAAAAGTTAGATGAATTAGAAAATGAAGCAATTGTAATAGTGTGCCAGTTAGAAATGTATTTTCCCCCTTCATTTTTTGATATCATGGTGCATTTGATAGTTCATTTGGTAAGGGAAATTCGATTATGTGGTCCAATTTTTCTGAGATGGATGTATCCTGTTGAGAGATACATGAAGATCTTAAAAGGATATGTGAAGAATCAGTACAGGCCAGAAGCTTCTATTGTGGAAAGGTACATTACAGAAGAAGCCATTGAGTTTTGTCAAGGATACATGTCAAAATCAGAACCAATAGGTATTCCTAAGATGAGACATGATGGAAGATGTGAAGGTAAGGGTACTCAAAATTTGAAGATTAAAAATGTTAGTCGGAAAGAAGTTGACCAAGCACATTTATACATATTGAACAACACTGATGAAGTAATCCCTTACATATCACAACACATAACTGAAATAAAGGCAACACATCCACGAATGAATGAAAAATGGGTATTGAATGAACATAACAAAAGTTTCCTTTCTTGGTTTAAAAAAAGGGTATATGTTGAGATTAATGCTTCAGAAACACTTTTGAGACTTGCTCGTGGGCCTAATAGTGATGTCATTACATTTGGTGGGTATGACATTAATAACTATTGTTTCTACTCAAAAATAGAAGATGATAAAGGTAGAGTACAAAATAGTGGGGTCACAATTCAAGCTGAATCTATGCATTTTTCTAGTTCTAAAGACAAAAATCCTATCACAGCTTCTATGAGTTATTTTGGGGTCATACAAGAGATATGGGAAATTGATTATGTTACTTTTAGAGTGTCTGTCTTCAAGTGTAAATGGGTTGAAGGGAATATGGGTGTGCGAACAGATGACCTAGGATTTACTTTGGTTGATTTGAGTAAAGTTGGGTATAAGGATGAACCTTTTATTTTGGCATATCAAGCGAGACAAATATTTTATGTCAAGGATCCATGTAATGAGAGATGGTCAATTGTCCTAGAAGGAAGAAGCATGCACGGAATTCATGAAGATGAGTCTCTAGATATACATGAAACACCTTCATTTTCAAGTAGACCATTTGATGACATAGTTGACAATGAAGTTGATGACATACATGCAATTCGAAGTGATCATGATGAAGGGATATGGGAAAACATACCAACAAAATAGGTGTTTATCTTCACATTTTCTAGTTCTTTTTATTCAAACTTATAAAGTATGTTGACTTCATATTGTTTTGTTTTTCAGGATATGTCAGATTCCACAGCTGGTACTGGTAGTGGTAGTGGCAGTGGCAGGAGCGGAAGTGGTGATAAAGGTAGATCTGTCACTCGGTTAAAGGGGTTGACAGCAAGGAGGGTAGCTAGAGAGAAAACTCAAGTTGAAGTTGATCCACGTTCTGGTAAGGCATCTGACCCAAATGCTGCTAAGTTTAAGAGCTATTTGGGACTACTAGCTC